CTGTTATCCTCAATCTGTTAAACGAGTGGTAGAATAATTACAGTTAAATAAAATCTCTGCTGATTATGAAAGTCTCTCTGAAATTGAATGAAGTCGATTGTTAAAAATTTTGTTGTTCACTTCCACGTTCTAAATTAATGACTAATTCAATTAATCACAGTATTGATTGGACAATTAATTTATATTGTAAACTGATTTTTAACATTATGACCGTACAGTAAAAAAAAATTCGGTCTCTGGTGTGAGGGGTTAAATATTTTGGTGTTAAAATTAACTCTCTTGCCGGGAGTCAAACTTTGGTAAGGAGTCAATTTTTATTTTTTACTCCGTTTGGTGTAAGCTCAGAGGCGAAATTCACTCTGGATTTTTTACTGTGCGTCAATCATTAATGATCTTTAGCCAGTGTCGGTAAATTGTCGGTAAATGTGTTTTTTTTCATGGCCAAGGAAAATTCTGTCATTTTTCGGCTGACAGCAGAACATGGAAAACTAACTTTTCTAACGTGAAAAAAAAATGAATCGCAATAGTCTCGGCAGAAATGAATAAACTAACTTTTCCTTATACACGGGCTCTTATGAAATTTATGTTCAAATTGATAATTCACCTACTAGAAGACTCTAAAAATAGAAATAAAAATGGAAGGTAATGTGTAAAATCATACTGAATCCAATGGCCAGAGAAAAATCTTGGAGTCATTAATTTGTCGGATGATCACCTCATTGAGAAAAATTTCGTGTTTGACTTGACTCGTTTCGCCATCTGAATTGAAAATAGGGTCGTTGACGAGGCGAATCAGGGAAAGAATAATGTAACCTCATTTGTTCGAGAGAATTAGATTTTCCACGAAGCACATTCTCTCGCTAAGTGGAATAATCCAGAAGTGAGGGAGATAACTGCATGAATACGCTTCCTTAATCCCATCAACAAGGCTCCATTTCGCAGTAAATGACCATGGCGAGGGTTGTTAGGTTTCGGGAAGTGGAGACAAATAACTTTTCCCGGAAAATCTCGGGGGAAAATGAGTGCCCATTGATAAGGGTGAGGAAATGAGGCCGAGCGGAGTGTATTCCTGTGTTTCTCAGTCAAATCCCCAAAATAGAGGCGAGTTTTTTTCTCGGAAATTTCCCAATACCCTCAGAGTTGTCTGGGTCCCTATACACCCAAAAAAAAATTACTTCTCATCAGTACACCAGTACAAACCGGTACTTGGGGAAAGTTCACTTCTGAAAAGTTCTAAAAATACTCGTCCCAAGTACATTTTGTGTCCTTGGGTGAAGTACCACATCTGTCGATCGATTAGAAATGGCACTGGGAGGAAGTAGTATCACCACTTACTGCCAGTACTTTTAGTACTTTTCACAAGTACCAAAGGTACTAGTGAAAAGTAATTGTTCAACTTCTCTTAAGTACTTTTAGGACTTAATTTCAGTACTTCCAATTGATTACTTTATTGAAAAAAGTGAATATTATTACCGGATAGAATGGGCTTTCTTACGCATTTTCGTAAATAGAAATGTTCAGCAGAAGATATTTTGTAGGAAAAAATCAATAGATTGCGATTTTTATGGATGCTTTCGAGAATTATTGGCATGCTTTCCAACCTACAAAATTTCAATTTTGTTGAGATTTTTGTTTTATGTTGGTATCAACATTTAAAAGGCTTCGAAAAATTATTTTCAATTTCTTTTCAATTTTATTACTCACAAAACGGGAATTATTTGGATTTTTGAATTTTTGACGAAATTCGGTTTTTAGAAGAGGGAGAAAAACATTTTTGAGTTCTTACACTCAACCTATATTGAGTTTATTTGGTACTTTTGAAAAGAACCAGCCAGGTACTCAGTACAAGTAATTTTCTTAATTGTCCCAAGTAACAAAATACTTGTAACAAGTACTGAGGTACTTCTCACCAATCCACAGGTACTTGACGCATGATACTTGCATCACGTTGTTTTGTAACTTCGAGGAAGTACAAAAATGTGCCTTTTCCCCAGAAACCCCTTGGTACTGGGTACAAGTACTTTTGCTACTGATCAGAAGTACGTTTTTTTTGGGTGTACAGTTTCTCCAAAAATCAATTGTTGCCTAGAAAATCATGCTCCATCACTTGCCATTGATTCTTTAATCCTTACGTATCGACCATTGAACGTCAGAACAATAAAATTACTGATGATCGATTGTGTGCGGATGAAGGCCGACTACAATTTATCCAATTTCTCTTCCATGTTCACGCGTTCAATGATCGATCGTGGGTTATCCTCCAACATGCCTTTGGTTTTTCACCTGTAATGAAGCCACAACTTGGAAGTTCCTACACGTGCCTTCCCGATGCGGGTGAATTTAATCAAATCGGGAGTCTCTCACAACATAAACTCTCTGGTAGTAATTATCGATTCATCCTATTATCAACTCGAAGCTGCAAAATCAACTTTAAAACCCGTCGAGATCCTCGTTATTCCGTGGATGATTTACGATGACATAGAATCTGTCAAGCAAAAAACACGAACAAAAGGCGGATAATTGCATCAGATTTTTTGAAGTAGTTATTTCTGTTCGTGAAATCCATATAAATGAATGGAATGTCATTTTCTCGAATAAAGCCGATGTTTAAATTGAGCTTTCCGTCCGTCGCATTGAACGCAATTTGCGGATGTTCTCACGAATTGAATATTGAGTTGAATTCCTTGAGGATGTTTGACCTATCAAGTGAACAACTCAGTAGAAAATAAAAATAAAATTGACTAAATCAATCATTCATGTTACAAATTATTTTTCTCATCAAATTAGAAGTGTTATGGCGTACTTTTCCGGTCTCAAAACAATAATTAAAGAAACTGTTCATAGATAATGGAGGACTTGTGACTGCAGTGGTAACAGTCGAATTTTGATCGGGCAACGTCGCACGCTTCGGCTAGTAGTGGGGTTGTAACAGTGAGATGAATGTTTGTGTGTGTTATACGTGTCCATATGCTTCCAGCACTGAATTATCGTCACCGACCTTACCGACCTCGATCAGCTGTTGTGCGGTGTTGTCGCGTTGCTCGACTCGTAATGGCGGTCAAATTTTTTTTAGAGCAATTCGAAAATCAATCGAAGATATCACGCCTATATGGCCCGGTCCCCTAATTGTTCTCGCCGGCGATACATTCTCCATAGTCTAAAGTAAATGGCTCGTGGTTTTTTTTTCAATATCTTGAGTGTCTAACCCATGCACCATCTCGATCAAACTTCACACGGTCACGTTTCTTCCCTAAGCGTAATGTTACAAGAAGTGATTTTCAGACATTAATTCCTCACTAGGATCCCCCGATGGAAGGATTAAGATTATTACTAACGCGCGGCTCAAATATGACCCTGGAATATGAGCCAATATTAAAATTATGGTGAATAATGTGAAAAAAAGTTTGATATGTATGAATGGATAAATAAATAAACAAAATGAACTCCGTGACAGAAGTGAAGAAAAAATCCATCATGTAACACCTGCAAAAACTGTCGAATAATTTCCCCCAAACTTATCTCTCCGTCTATCGAACTTGTGAGCCCTAATCGACTACACTAAAATTAACTTCTGGCGTGCTGATTGAGCGGATTTCCCCGAGATATGGTTCAACTGAATCCACCACACGACTTTAGCTATGAAAAATAGTAGCCGCGTGACCAGGCAAGCTAAGAATGGGCTCAGAGAATGATTCATCTCATCGCGTTAACTTCGGAATTAACTCAGCAAAATGGATGATTGTGAGAAAGGTGCAGGATCAGTCTTACAGAAAATTCTCAAGCTGTAGAACAAACAAGTAGTCATTTTTCTCGAAATCCCTTGATTCCAAAACACCATATTTACCAGATACGTCTCATCCTACTTATTACGTTTTCCCACTCCAATATTTTCTATAGTGCCATTGAACCCCCAGATCGTGACAGAACTTCAGATCTACCGTCAAAGGTCGACAAGACGTCATGTCTCGCGCCTACACGAAAAAAAAGTGTACCACCCCCCGCTTTCCTAGGCCAATTTGGCTTTTGCGTTGGCATCATAAAACGCAATAGTCGACTCATCTCACTTTGTCAATTACGATGAGGGCACCAGTTATCGCACGATTAAGGACAAGGCTAGGAGAAGAGCTGAATCATGAGAAACTTTCGGCATAAATCATGGAAGTGAGGGATCAAAGCTATTAATTCAAGTCCTTCACATGGCTGAATCGATTTTTCCCTTTATTTTCGATTATTTGAATGGAAATAATCATAATGGGCGCAGCGTTGCTCAGCCCACTGGGTCAGAAAAAAATTACCATTTCTGTTGAGTAATGGAGATAAAATTTCAAAATTTTTATCCTCAGTTCCTGAATAATATTCCGGAGACTTCCTCGCATTGAAATGTCGTACGTTGCGTCTATAAGAGACGGCATGTACTGACGACGCGCCGTCCGAATTTAATTGAGATCGAGTAATAATCACGAGGAGCACTCAGGGAAGTATTTTCATACGTTCTTTCTCCGCGGATTCGTCCATTCGGCTGGTAATTGTGGGTTTTGCGAATTATTAGTGGGTTTCAAGGGGCAATCAGTCGTATTTTGGGACATTCTTTCGGGATTTTTGAATTATTATTGCCACCAGCAACCTCCTCAGCAGTTTGAAGATGCTGGGAGGCCATTGAGCTCCTCACTCTGAGGACTGCTCCGAGTCACCACACGAGGTGGAGGTTTGAGAGGCCCCAAACTTGCACTTCGTCGCAGTACAATTGTGTCACGTTTTTCTTTTCCTTTCCTCTCCCTTCTCCTCTTCTCTTCGAGTCACCAACTTGACGTACACTATCATCCAGAGACTGGATCAATGGATCCATCCCAATACCGACTGAGAATCCATTTGGAAATTACATATACCGAGGATATTTTTTCCATGTAGTCCTTGCACTTCTAGTTCAAGCCATTTCTCATGCTACCGCCAATGAAGATTTCCAGACCCTAAATAATAAACTACCCCCATAAATCACTCACCAAGCATCTTGAGAACCCTCCTCGACGATTTTCCCGTGTGATGTCTGCAGTCTCTTAATCTCTTGTTGGCCGGGCCACCCCTCTGCGAGCGCATGTTGGTCTTCTTCATGATATTAGTTTTCCTCAGCTTGAGTCCAATGAGAGCGTAGAGCACAGTGATGAGTATCATAGGCACAATAAAGAACAGCAGAGTGGACAATTCGAAGGAATGCTGAATGAAAGCATTCTTCAGCGTGCAGATGATAAAGTCCGGATCCTCATTAGGCATCTGGAGAATTCCAAACTGGAGGGCTTGCGGTATAGCGAAGCACAGAGCAATGAGCCATATCACCAGAATCAGCCTTATCGCTCTCGACAGTTTGGACATTGTGTGGGACAAAAAGGGATGGCATATCGCTACATAACGTTCAACAGTGAATGCTGTTATCGTTAATACACTGGCATTTGTTGAGCATTCGGCAGCAAGACCCCTCAGCACACAGAAGCCCTCGCCAAATATGTAGGGGTACTTGGACCAGACGAGATACACCTCGGCAGGTAAGCCCGATATGAGGAGCAACAGGTCTGACACGGCAAGGCTAAACAGATAGTAATTCGTTGCCGTGTGCATTGACTTGTTGCGTGCTATGACGATGCACGTGCTTACATTGCCTATTGTTCCGGTCAAGAATATTGAGAGGTAGATTATCGTCACGGGAATCACTAGGTACAGGGGGTCGCGACGGGTTGTGTGGCCAAATGACGACTCTGTGAATCCAAGGAGGGATTCCTCAGTTGCCGGATACTCCGTTCTATTCCCTAGGGCGGGGAGGTAGTCTGTGGGAAAGGGGGTGGACTCCATTGTTTCAGGCAAATTCACTCAAGCGTGTCACTCTTGTCACATTTATAACTTTCCACTTTGGGGGGTGTTCCAAGTTTGATGGCTCAAGAGGGCGGGTTGAAATCCTCTGACACTAGTCTGATGTTCACTTTGAAGGGCAACATTTTTGGGGAAGTTTTTTGTAGAAGTTTTAATTTTTCGGTTTTTGGGATTATAATGGGTAATTTTCTTTGCGTTTGGTTGGGGTGAGGTGATTATCCAGTTGACGATGTTTACGTGGGATCTATGATTCACGACGAGTGTATCGGTACTGAATGAAAATCCAAGGCGAACGGTCAAGTCCACCGGTCGAGTCTGTTGTGAGTTGAGTGGGGAAGACGCGGTCTGCGCCGGCGGTAGATCCAAACCACTGGCACTCCGGGACGTAGCGTGCGCGTGGTCGAATGAGATGTTTACGGAATTACGAATAACGCAGGTGAATGCGAATCGAGCGGGTATTCGTCCTAGACTGAAGTGCGGAGCGTCCTGAAATGGTTGAGGACGATTAGAGATGATTGCGGGCATGATTGCGCATGACAGAATGTACTTATTTCCGTCTTGTAATTTTTCCCTTTCTTGCGGCAGTCGTATGATGAGACGGTTGGATATTAACGAAGTCTCCGGCCGGGAAAAATGTTGAGAGAACTGGTGGTTTTTTACGTCCAAAATGTAGGGGAGAAATTGAAAAATTCGAGTTTGCAGGGATTCGAGGGAGAGTTGGATGTCTGTAGTTTAGGCCTTGGGTCCCATTGAACAGTTTGTGATGATAATTTTATTAAAATTTAGATAATAAAATCATAGTAATAGAAAGATGCAAATTCTTATAATATTACAAATTTAATCACGCACGAAAAAATTTAATAGAAGAACCTATCGAATTCGTTAGAAAATTCTATTGAATTTCTATTGAAATTTCTATTAGTTTTTGGGTGATTCTATTGACATGTTCAATAGGAAAAATTCAATAGAAAAAGTTGACAGAATTCGATTTTTCTATACAACTTATTGTTTTCATATATTTTCTGTAGAATTTTCTCGACCCAAATTTTCCAAGCTTTTTCATTCTATTTTTCTTTTCTTCTCATCAAGAAAATCAAACGAAGAAACTTAGAAAATTTGAGCCGAGAAAATTTTATAGAAAATATCTCAATAGAATAAGTTGTATAGAAAAATTGAATTCTGTTGACTTTTTCTACAGAATATTTTCTATTGAACGTTTCAATAGAATCGGCCAAAAATTAATAGAACAGTTCAATAGAAATTCAGTAGAATTTTCTAACAAATTCGATAGGTTTTTCTATTAAATTTTTTCGTCCGTGATGATTGTCGACTGATCACTGCCTGCCACGCGCTCGATACCCCGCGCATTCAATATTTTTGGATGAATGAAAAATTATGAATAGAATATTTAATTGAAGCTACTGTATTCACGTAATTTTAAAGAGTCTGGATTTTAAAAAAATGCTGGGTAGAAACTACCGTTCTACTCCAAAAATAGGTGTCGGAAAAGCATACAATCAGTCAACTGCCCCCAATGAGCGCTCATTCTAATGTCTGGAACGTCAAAAATGTAATTTTAGACGGGATTTTAGAATTAGTCGCGATGAGATGGTAGATTACGTCATTAGGCTAATAAAAGTTGTTTTCGGCCGAATGATGAACGTGATTTCTTCACACTGTAGATGGTGTTTGACAGATAGTGTGGTGAAAATATTTTAAACTAGTTTGAGGCTACACTGTAAAAAATTTGATGTTAAATTGACACAGATCGGTGTCACCATCAGTCCACGCTGTTTTTGGGGTGGAGTTGCGGTGTTAAAATTACACCGCACCATAGGACATCGCATGTAAAATCTGGTGTTAATTCAAGACCAATCGGTGTCCCAGAAAGTCCACACCGGATTTTTTACTCATCGATTTATAGAAGTACGATGAATTAGCGAATTAGTATGAAGTTTTGAGTCAATCCATTAACATTCTACCTCTCACATGAAAATATTATTGTGTTTTTGTTTATGTTAAGAATGACAATGTATTAGGGAAGAATACTGGTCGAAAATTAATATCTGATTTGGATTAGTTGAAATTATTCAGTTCGTATTGTGAAATGAAAAATGGATGTTTCTGAAAAATTACCTTTTGAAAAATATGTAAAAAAATATATTCAATTGGTCCAATTTGTATAAAAAAATGATGATTAATTTTTTAACTAAATTATATTTAATTTTAATGAAATATTAATTTAATTAAAATTAAATAGTAGATTTTAATTAAATTTATTGTTATTATTATTATTAATTATTGTTCAATAATTAATTAATTATTAAATTAATTATTATGGGTTCAATTTTTTTATATATAAAAAAATTTATACAATATATGTTCCATATATTTTTTTTATATATTCTTCCCTCAATAAACAATAAATACTTGACGATTGACGATTCTTCTACGCGATTTGAGTGACTTCATCTGCGACAAAATCATGCTCAAGTGAAATGCCTGGGAGAATTAAACAATTGAAGAAAAATAAATTGTCTCAAGAAAATATATTTCAGACATTAGAATTTTTTTTCTCAGTGTGGAAAGCAGCATGCAGTCTCTATAGGAGGGAAACAATTGAATAATTATCAATGCACAAATGAAAAAATTCGAGCCACACGGCATAAGCCCGGGCATAATATAGGATATTCAATTCATACGGTCGAAATAATTTCTTTCGTTTGTACCAACTTAACTCTTTGTTAGTCTTCTTGAGATAACACCATAGTACATATGATCTACAAAAAATCCGCTCTTCGTGTCATGAATAATTCGGCTCGAACGGATAACGCCATTCAACACTCGCCCATTTTTTCGCTCGTCTTAACCGCTGAATTTTAATAAAAAATGATAAAATTCCGGTTAGTCATAAAGACACATTTAGCCATGAATGGAGCACAACAATTCCCGACATTTCCATTACAGCGTGGCGCCAAATTAATATTGATTACGCAAATGAGCGAGCGAAATTTTCGGTGAAATTGCGGGTAATGTGGCAATCCGGCCTTGATGGCGGTATTATTGGCACATTTATTTCCGCATAAACGTCCCACGTATCACTTCTCTGCCATATCAATTTGAACATTCTCTTTTTACCCCGCAGTAGGCAATCATTTCACTCCCCGCGGCGAAGCCTCCATTCACGAATATCATTCCTATATCACTCCTAGCGGATAATCGATCGGTCAATTGGTTAATTGTAAGTATGATTGTCAAGGGGATTCTAAGTGTCATTTGAACTTGACACTAGAGCGATCAAGAGCGCGTAATGCGCTGAATTCTCATCGATTGCGTCATTCTGTCCAATTTAGACGAAATAGTTTAATTGAATCATTCATTCTTATTCTTCGGATCTTTGCGCCATCAATTCCACGGAATTCACGTAGGGCACTTCCTCATTATTCCGTAAGTATCATTTGATTGGAAAGCATTAATGAAACTCAGCAGGAGACCGTTTTTACAAGTCAGTAGCGAAGTGGTAAAACGGTTATTAAGTCGACTCATCTCCCAGTTGAGTTTTTGAGGAATATTTCCGAATCTAAGGGAGATAGCGAAGTTTTTGTAATTACATTTGTTGGAGCTCTCAATCGGCTCTTCAAAAAAGGTTATTATCAAAATTTTGCTATCTTCCTTAGATTCCGAGATATTCATTGAAAACTGGTCATCTTGTCTCAAGAAAATATGTTTCAGATATTAGAATTTTTTTTTCTCTGTAGGAATTTTCTGGAGAGCGATGTGAACGCGACTTTAGGTGCTTCCTGCGAAAAAGTAAATAATGACATTCATCTGGAATTTATATAGATTTTTATAATCACAATTGAATTGTCTATGAATTTTTCTAGAATTTTTTCAGATTTCCTTTTCAAGTGATTAACGATTGAAGTTGCTTCTGGTACATGGGCTCTTACGGAGATTTTTCCGTTTTCGGAAAAAGATTTTGAGTTCGATTTAAGGGGAAGAAGTCAGTGGAATTATAATTTTTTCCGAAAATTCAAGTGAAAGCCCACAATTTACATGAATTTTCAAGTAAAAATCAATATTCACTGCACAATTTCCTTCCATTTTCAGGGAATTCATTTAAAATTCTCTGAATGACATGAATTTTAGGGAATCGGGAATTAAAGGAAAGATTTCTTGGAATTTTCCTGATTTGTCACTAATTCTTCCGGAAAAATTACCTGAAATTTACAGTTCCCACGGATTTCTCCATGAAGTTATGAATTTTCAATGACAAAATTGTCACTTATTACAAATTTCCAAGACTTTCCCGGAAATTTCAGTGGAAAATTCTCAAGTGTCTATCAAATTTTCCGTCAAACTCTGAATTTTAAATTACACTGTTAGAAATTTACTCTTGAAATTTCAAGTAAAAAATCTTGAAATTTTTAACAACGAATAATTTACATGGAATTTCCATTGATCTTGTAATTGGTAAATCAGTCAGTTTTCTTGAATATTCAATGAAATTAGATTTCTCAGGTTCATACGACAATGAAAATTACTGAAAATCGTGAACATTCAGACAACATATCTCTTGAATTTTCGATCCTTTGAAAATTCAATGGAACATAATGCTTAATTTCCGCGATAGGTGTGAAAATACAAATTGTCATTGAAAGTTCAATGATCATTCATCATGAAAAATTTAATTTTATTGAATTTCCGAGATGAATCAGGAATTCCATGAGCAATTTAGTCTGAAACTGAATTCAAGTTCCCAATACTGAAAATCCAAATGCATCTGTTGCTTAAATTTCGCAAAATTTCTAACCATGTACCAGAAATTCCACTCAAAAATATTCAACAATGCGGATAATTTCTCCCGGAAGCCCTCATAATCAAGATAATCACCGAGATAATGAGAACATCCCTCTCCATTGATTGCAAAAATCTGGGATTCCGAATTCCGACGTAAACGGACCGTAAAATAGCGTGGCCGA